CACGGCAGCTAACGGTTAGCAGGATCCGGATCCTGCTAACCGTTAGCTGCCGTGCATCCATCCGAAAAAATCCCGTTTCGGATACCAAAAATATGATGATCGAATCACGGGCCAATAAGAAACTGGAAATTGTAAACGCGTATGTGTGATTGGTTGATGATAGAAACACGCTCAACTTGCTAACCGATAGCGCTTGCTAACTGTTAGTGCTAACCGATCGGGCGTTCTCACGCAGGTGCTAACGATTAGCGCTAATGGTTAGCTCCCGATCCGGATACTAAGGCTCTCGTGAGAACCAGGCTAATGTATATTTGCTGATAATAATAATAATAATAATAATAATAATAATAACGTCCAACTTAAGAGTACTCCAACACTTATTACCTGCAGTTACTGTATTGTCATCATTCCTGATGATGACATATTAAATGTTGAATCCTGACATGATGGTGTGCATTTTGATACATGGAGTATATATATATACTATCTTATTCTATTGTGCAATAGAGTAAAATAACATACTCCCATATATATGTTTATATTTGAAGGAGCCAAATGATTACACAAGAAGAATTTGAATTCATAGTGCAATATAACAACCAGACAAGCGAGAGACGAGATGAGGTGATTAAGCAAAGAGGTGCTGCTTGTGCTAAGATATTCCTAAGTTTGATCAATCACATTGCCCGTGAACATACCGTTCGTTACCTGCTCACTCTGATTGATGATCTTCTTAAAGTAAGTGGTTGTTGCATTTTTGTTTCATAACTTGTTTTTAGAAGTTGTAGCCTAATTGTCTACTTCTGGTGCTTTAGACTGCTTACGTTTCAGTTCCTAGGCTCAAACAGCAGGATATTTCTCATGAATACCAAAAATCATACTCGCCAAAAAATGTTCCTTACGGCCATGTGTTCTTGCACACTGATATTTTACTCAGGTATCTATATTTTGTCAATATACTACTCATCTGATGAAGGTCTATAACACCTGACAACTCTCACACCCGAGTCTGACGCATGAGCATCTCACGACTATGTTGTATTATCTTATCTTGCGCATTATAAAAATATTCATAAAAGATAAAATATATTGATTATATCTTAAAATTCATAAAAATGAAGTAAATTTGTCATTAAAATTTGAATACAGGCCATATAAATTTCTTTTAATGAAGACATACAGGAGCAGTTCTGGTCCACTACAATTTTAAAAAATGACAGAGGGTGCTCTATTTCATGATTATTATATAGAGGGCGCTATATACATTTAAAAAATTTTTTTTTTTTTTTGTCTTTTGCGCATAAAAAAAAAACAAAGTTGGCAGGTATAGCCTATGGCCGAAAACATTGATACTGTCTTTATTTAAAGTCTGGAAAATTGCCCCTTAGTTATATTTGATATATCTACACTTCCCATTACTGTACATTTTCATTATAATATTGGTACCCTTGAATCACATGAAATTTCAACATTGCCACATTAATTTTACTTTTTTGCTTATTTTGATAGGAGAAACCAGAACGTGCAAGTATATTCTTTGAGAATGCTAAAAAGTCAAAGGGCAAAACTACAGCATGGTCTCAATTCCTTAATATGCTTAACAGAGAGGATAAATACACCATTAATCAGGTTTGTGTTTTTGTGGTTTTTTTTTTAAACCATTCATCATTGAAATCATTGAATGAAATATGATATATGAAGGCAAATATAAATGAAATGCAATTCCCCCTCTCCCCCCCCCAAAAAAAAAAAAAAAAAAAAAAGAAAACAAAAATAAAAAACAAAATAAAGCAAAAAACAGATAGGTACAACTTTACCAGAGGAACTCTTATTAGTTTAATGTTGAATGTAAATAACGAAACTTTAAATATTGTTCAGGCTAGATAGATTATAATGTTTTCAGTTTTTGAATATAAAAATGTGGTGCATTTAATTTGTGATTGCATTTGGTGTCCTTGGATTCCAATTCTGGGGTCGAGTGGTATTCTACACTTATCAATGTCATATTGTTTATGCCTTGGGGCTAATCAGTTTTTTTCCAGTACAAAATTACAAATACCAAGCTCACTTTTCTCATGGAGGTATAAATTACCTCCATGCTTATCTAGAATAGAAAATTCTACTCATTAGAAGTATCTGGTAGTGGTATTTTTTACTTCAAAAGAATTAATAGTATGCAGACTGCTGGTTGGAAAATGACCTAGTCAAGAAACAAGTTGTTAAGGAAATGCATGGCAAAAATGAGCACCTAATTCAATGAATCTAGGAAGACGTACGTTCAGGAACATGCTGATGAGTAGAATATAATTTGACTCCTGCTAAAATTCACATGAGACAAACACCTAAACATCACATCTGGGTCGGTCCATTTCAGTTCACCCAGTGAATTAAATCCCACCTTCTCCAATCAGATCTGAAGAACGCATTAATGATGTAACAATGTAATGATGAATAAACATTTCTTAATTATTTTGCTAGGCATCAAGGGTGATAACAAAGCTTGCATGCTGCACACGTGAACGGATGAGTGGAAATGATTTGAAATTCTACCTGAGTTGGATCCGATCACAACTGACATTCACAGGAAATGAATACATGCAGACAACGGCGCTATGCCTGCAACAGATGTTGAAACACAACGAATATCGAGTAGCATTCGTAGAAAACGATGGACTTGTCACGTAGGTGCACAATTGATGAAAATGATAAATAATTAGTATTTAACAACACAATAATAATGATGGTGATGCTTATATTTACAATATTGTACAGAAGGGCAGATTTAGGGGACCAAGCCAGTCCCCCCTTTTTGGAAAGTTAAGAAAAAGAAACCCCTTTTTGGAAAGTTAAAAAAAAGAAAGACAGAAAAAAGAAATTATTGATCGTTCAAGACGCCTCAGAGGTTATTTCCGGGTATCTAGAAAAATTTTGTGGGACATGCCCCTGGACCCCCTACGGTAGTGGTGTCTCGATCGACCCCACTCCCCTTTTCGGACTCCTCTGCTGTATTACTTTCATGGTTTTTGAACATCCAATAGCAAGATACAAATGACAGGATCTGATTTTTTAACAACTAAATTTTTTTTTTTAACGCAGAATTGCGCATTTATAAGGAGATGTTAACTTCTAAAGGCCAACACAGCGTCGTACAATGCAGCCACGCAATTTATCATCAGGAGCAATCTTTAGGTCATCCTGAGAATATTAAACATGTTTATTATTCTACGACACGACTATTCCCGACTCAGACTTATCGCCTTGACGTTTAACTTCCACAGATCAGACGCGACAACAAATTGGGTCTGGCTGCATCATAGGACCCTGTCTGAGTTAGCCATAATGGGACACAGTCCAAAGCAAATGAGTTTTTGCTCAATCTCACAAAAATTTTCAGTGAAAGTATTTAAATTGATTACCCGTCAATTTAAAGGGATATAAATGCAAAGAATATCTTCATTGTAGCTACAAAGCATTCAAACTGTTCTGTCAAAACAGACAGTAAATAAATTTAAGGGTTGTAGTCTTTTATCACAAAAAAATGTTGACCATTTCTGTAGTAAATATTGAAACCTAGGTCCTGGTATGCAAGTTTAGCACCATAACCCAAAACCATCTTTCCCTAAAAACTCATAGTTTTAAAATATAAAAGTAAATTTAAATAAATTAAATTGATGATTGGTTATCGTTTTTTTTTTATCCACCGTTGATATTTGATTATTTTTATTATCCAGGCTACTGAATGTTTTGTCAGGTAAAGTAAGCTTCCAGTTACAATATCAACTCACGTTCTGTATCTGGATGCTCTCCTTCAACCCTGACCTCTGTGGCCAAATTAACAAGTAAGTTCAGATATCCAGTGTCCAATGGGTTTGATTGGAGTGAATTTTTAACACATTTAAACAATGATGATCCTCTATTTCTAGTACTTTCTGCTGGGTAAGAACAGGTTCTGTTCATTTCCCAGTATTACTTGGCATATTTTGTTTGTACATGCATATTTTATTTTATTCTTTCCACTTGCAAAAGACAAAACATATTTCAAACAACAAGAAGAAAAGTCGAGAGCTGCAGAGAAAAAAAAGCTGTTAAATATTGATAGTACCTTCTTCTCTAATTATCATATATTAAATTATAAATATTGAAATATGTTCAATATATATATATGTACTACTGTATGTTTAGATGTAAATGAGGATATCCTCTCCATCACAACCTGTTATATATGAGTACCAAAAAAAATTTCTAACAGAAAGATTCTCAAAATAATTGTATGTTACTGTTTTAATGTACTATTAGTTTATCATGCCTATAATCTCAATGTTTTATGTATTTTAATAATAATTATTATTAAAACATTTAATATTAATATGTTTATGTAAATACAATATTGAAAACAGATCTGAACCATTGATTTTTACATTGTTTTTAACAGACATAATGTTATACCAGTACTTGCTGATATCTTAACAGAGACAACCAAGGAAAAGGTTAGCCGCATAATTCTTGCTGTTTTTAGGGTAAGTATTGACAGTGCCTTAAAAATCATGATGTTTGTGACAACATAATTTTATTATCTAAATTATAAAAGGGCTTTTTTTACGAGTGAAAATAAGTGAGAGTAAAAAACAAGATGGTGTTTACAGTAGTCAAAAAAACATTTAACATACAGTATGTCTTAATGAAACAGTACCATTTTGAATATTCAGCAAAAGGCATAGTATAAATTTCTTCATTTAAATTATTATATAACTAAACATATAATGGTTACTGTTACCTGTCCATCAGAATCTAGCTGAGAACCCAACAGAAAAAGAAATCAAGGCAGAGAATGCCTTGTCAATGATTCAGTGTAAGGTGCTAAAACAGTTAGAGGTTCTTGAAGGCCAGAAGATTGAAGATGAAGACATCATCGATGACATTGAATTTCTCATTAAGAAACTACAGATGAGTGTCCAGGACCTGAGGTATGTTGTCAAACATTGGAGGACGTATACCTCCATTGTTAAACTGATTTTATACAATAGGTTTAAATATTTTCATTTTGTTGTAAATTTTTTAAGAGTAGTTTACTAGCATTCCACCACTGGAGGTGGTGTAATCCCATACCAAAGTTACTATCATGTGCTTTCATAATAGTTATTGCGTATTACGCAATACCTTGAGAAAATAACGTGTCCTAATGGGAAATCCAAGGGTGTATACCACTTGGCCCCATAGCTCAGCTGGTAAAGTATCCGAACGGTAATTGGAAGGTCTTGGGTTCAAATCCAGATGACAATATGCTAAAAAAAATTTATTAGCATTAAAAAAAAAATTTATTCAACATAAATGTACTTATAATAGAAACACTCCAAAAAAGCAAAGTGTTTGCTATACAGACTATCACTTGCTCTGTCTGTTTACAGCTTTGTTCCCAACTATAAGTCATGTGACTTAGGTTGCCATTTGAAAAAAAAAAATACAAAAGTTGGTTTAATTTTTTTTCCCCCAAAAGTTCCTTCGATGAATACTCTTCTGAGGTCAAGTCTGGACGCCTTGAATGGAGTCCTGTCCACAAGAGTGAAAAATTCTGGAGAGAGAATTCTAGCAGGCTAAATGAAAAGAACTATGAGCTATTGAAGTAAGGTTTTAATTTATTTTTATAGACGCTTTTTGTTGTAAATTACTTTACCAACACAGAATACACACTACCATAAGCTATAAGACCCTGATAAACATGCAGTTATACATATTTTTTCTTTTTATTGGGTGTAACGATATAGGACATAATGCAACATCACAATTTGAAAGGATCTGAATTTCCAAGAAAACTACGTAATGATAAAAATCATTAATATAAAATTATTAATATAAATTATGTTAATGAGTGCAATGAGAATATTTCATGAGATGAAAGACTGGATGTTCTATTCAGTAAGGTGTAGCCAAGTTGAATAGAACATCAAATGTTTCACCAAATAAGAATGATAATAGATTCCTATATTATAAAAAGTTTTGTAATTTTTAGTTCCTATGCATGTAATGCAATAGTAATGCATGTTAATGAGTGCAATGAGAATATTTCATGAGATGAAAGACTGGATGTTCTATTCAGTAAGGTGTAGCCAAGTTGAATAGAACATCAAATGTTTCACCAAATAAGAATGATAATAGATTCCTATATTATAAAAAGTTTTGTAATTTTTAGTTCCTATGCATGTAATGCAATAGGAACTATTGTAATCACTCTTCACTGTTTTTCCTGTGTGTAGTGTGTGTGTGTGTAGACATTTATGCAAATGCGCATGCGTCAAAGATAAGTTTTCCGACATTTTGTTGTACCTTGCGATGCGAAGTTCGATGTGAAGTTTCTGCAGTGTTCAGTCAGGGCTCATGCTAACCAATCGGCAAGTCGGCATGGATGAAACTATTTTGGTTTTGCGGCAAAAAACAATCAACTGCTGTAGGCATAGGCATTTTGAGGAATTCCTAAATAAAAAAAAAAGGTTTTAATACTTGCTGAAATACATCGTTTTTTCATTTAGATCTCCATTTTTCACTACCTCCATGCGGCGTTTTTTTCTGTTGTATGAGTAGTCATATGAAGGTACAATATCCCCAACAGTTGGCTATGCAACAGTGTACTCTTTGAATGCAAACTGAAGACAAGTGAAGATATAAAGGCAGCCGACTGTCGGGTACATAACGACTATCTAGCTTAGGCTTTCCACAAAAACATTAGTACAGTAGTTACTGCAATGCGAGGGTGGTAGATCATTTAATCAATGATATCGTGTTATCGTCTAATACATTTATATAATGTGTGTAAAATTTAAGAATGCACCGCGTGGGTCGCTTTCTATGTTATGCGGTAGTATACGTAGCAGAGTGACGGCAGCAAGGCTAGGCCTAGCCTAGGGCCTAGATCATGTACGTTCTTGATCATCGTGATGAAAACTTTGGGTGACAGACAATTGGGCCCAACTGGTGTGGACGATTGGGCCCAAGCTATTTTCAAATAAATTGTAGTCTAGTAGGCCACTGCCAGCTCCCC